TGGGAATTGAAGTCCACAAATCTTAAAGTTGCTGAGGTTCAGAAACACTGATCTGGGCCATGTTTTATTTACAGCCCTGACACCAAACTTTCTACTTTTCAAGTTGTAAATCAAATTTACTTTCTGCAACTTAAAATATTTTGGGAATAAACTGTGCCTCAATATTTTGTGTTGGAAACATTTAATGCATGTATATCTTCCATCCATTCCCCAAGAAGGAATCTTTTGGAATATTATTTATCATATTTATATGCTCCTATCTCACAAAACTTGTGCAGTAAAACCATGAAAACAGTGATTACAAAAAACACGCTACCATTAAGACATTATTATTATTATTATAAAAGACTGAATATGAACTCTCATGTGTCTTCATTCCAAAATCTCTTCTCTTTCTAAAACTTTTACATGTCTGAGGTGCTCTGACTTTTCTTTTTCTTTGGTAGTAAGTTACTAGCTGAAAGTTAGCGCTGAAAGTTAGGTCATCTAGTCCTTAAGCATGCTGGTGGAGGAATAATAAAAAGAATGAAATTGCTTTTAAGCTTGTTGTTTTTTGTTTACTTCCTTGATTCTATAGCACGTAGGAGTTTTGGATGGTTCTTATCTTTTTTTCCCTTCAAGGAACACTGGATGATCCACATTACTGTTCCTCCTTTCTCTGAATTTTATCTTTTATGACAAACTTGTGAAGTAGATTAGACTGACAATTTGAGACTGATCTACACAAGCATTATAGCTAAATGGAGATTTTTGAATCTAGATCTCTCCCCTGGCCATGCCATAGTAGATACCTTGGTCCAAATAGGATAGACGGCCTAGAACTTGCTCCTTGAAACATTGGCATGCAAAGATGTCTGTGCCTTTATCTTAGCTTTCTCTGTTTCAGAACATCCCATTTCTTTGAATTAAAAATCAAAATAGTTTGACTGGATTTTCAGTCAAGCGAGATCTTTTGCTCTCTAAAACAACAAATTTATTATAAATTATAATGGAGAAAAGAGGGGCTGTAATAGTTGTCTATGAATAACATTTTATTAATTGATTTTTATCCCACCATTATTTTTACAGTGTCTGGTGCATGGTCACCCAGCCGGCTCTCATGCTTAAAGTGGGACTAGAACTCACACTCTCCTCTTTCTAGCCTGATGCTTTAACCACTAGACCAAATATGTAACCATATAGGTTATTTGTATTCCCCCAATAGGTTTCATTGCAACGAAGGTGAGATTGACGTCTAGAAGATGCCTGTTCCGCCTCCTCCAGCTCCACCCCCTCCGCCAACATTTTCACAGGTAAGTTGCAATTTTTAAAAAAAATTAATGGAAGAGAGATGAAACTTGATCATCCTAGCTTGCCCTGTGAAAATAAAGCATGTTTTAGACTAGATTTTCCTTTTCTGTTGGCTTTGTTGTTTGTTCGGTTGGCTGTTTTTTTATTGTTTTTCATATGATTCTCTTTTAGGTTTTTGTTCTTTTTTTGTGCTTTCTGAAAAACTTGTTAAGATAAATAACATTATTAAGGTTTAAACTATCATGCATATCAGAGTAACAGAGTAACAGAGTTGGAAGGGAAGTGACCTTGGAAGACTTCAAATCCAACCCCCTGCTCCAGCACCAAACCCTGTACCATTTAAGACAAACGGTTGTCCAATTTCTTAAAAACCTCCAGTGTTGGAGCATCTCCTGGAGGCAATATCAGGTGCCTTTGAGGATCAAAGTCTAGTCATAAAAGTGTGCTGTCTTGAGTTATACTGATTTACAGTGAGACTGTGGGGTTATAGTTAAAGATTTAAATCATCCATGGATGCTGATTGGGTGACTTTGGGCCAGTTGTGCTTTCTCTCTCTCACTCACTTAGCCCAGCTATTCTCACGGAGGTTGCTGTGACCTTAGCTAGATCTTCTGTTGTGGATTTATATAGAAGGACATAGAATTAAAAAAGATGTGATGTACTACTATGATGTAGACCTTAGATTATTCCTAACCGGGTTCATACATCCTGACATGGAATGGATATTTGCCACTATTGCAATGGAATGTTTTGTTTGTTAAACAAACAAATATGATAGGCAAATCAAAGCTTTGTTGGGAAAAAAGCCTGGCTTAGCCAATCTGCTCAGCCATGTGATGATTAAAATAAAGTATATATACAGGATGAATTACAATGGCACTTTTTGGGAAAGGACCAAAAATATCCCCTACTACTCCCAAGTTAGCTAAAATCATGCTACATTTATGGAAGTCAACAAAGAGGCAACTTTACAAATGGAGGCATGGAATTGGGACCAGCCCAGTGTTTCCCATAGAGATAGATTCAGCACCTCTGTAATAAGTTCCATGTCTCTCTGGAGCAGCATTTAAGGTAGTTGCTAAACATCTGGAGTATGTTTTGCAGGAGTGAACACATTCGACAAATTCACCCACTACTTCTCCATTGTCATTTATCTGTTTACCTATGAAACGGGATACTATGGTTTGCTTAAACGTGTTTTGCTGAACTTGTTAAACAATTGGCTAGGTTTGTAAAATGTACTCAGTCAGGCATCCACAACCTCTTTTGTCTGGTGGGTATGTTTAAAATATTCAGAGCATGTAAAGGGTTGCTGGGGTGATTTACTGATTTACAAAATAATCAACAACAGGGCATGTAATCAGTTGCACAGTAGTTGAACCTCCTGCTTAGGCAGGAAGATCTATACCATTTCAGACAAGAGGCTACCCAATCTCCTCTTAAAAACTTCGAGTGTTGGAGCATTCACAATTTCTGGAGGTAAGTTGTTCCTCTGATTAATTGTTCTAACTGTTAGGGAATTTCTCCTTAGTTCTAGGTGCTTCTCTCCTTGATTAGTTTCCATCCATTGCTCCTTGTCCTGCCTTCAGGTGTTTTGAAAAATAGGTTGACTCCCTTTTCTTTGTGGAAGCCCCTGAGATATTGGAATGCTGCTATCATGTAAATATAATAGAAATTTAACACAACAACCAAGTGCAAGAACATTGCACAAGATTTACACCGAGGATAGGAGATGGTGGTAGGGGTAAAATATACTTCTTTAGTTAAATTTTGAACAAACACGAGTCAGCTTTTAAGACATTTGAGAAAATTTAAGCTGTTTCATCTTACTCTTGCAAATATTTTCATATGTTTATGTTAAATTTTATTACAGGCTGGCATTTCTGTTAAGAAAATATAGTTTAGATTTTCTAGCAGTACACAGCAGATTTTAAACATAGGTTGCAAGTTTGAAAAATTGGAAATAGCTGTTTGAACTGGCAGATGAAAAATCTTCAAGTGGTTTTAGTAAAAAGTATTGTAATCAACAATTTTGCTCCTTTACAAATAAAGCCAGGAAATCCTATGAGATTATCCACTAATTTAAAAGTGTTAGTTTATACAAAATAAGTCTATGCGAACATGTCTTTCCAAATTAGCAATTTTTTAAAAGTGTATTTTCCTCACAGCCTTATTTGTATTAGAATTGGAATGTCTGCTTTGATTTAAGTCCCTAGACATTCAGAGATGGATATATATCTGGGCCAGGCTTATTTTTACTACATTCTTGTTAGTTAGTTAGTATATTTATAACATTTATATAGCTGCCCTTGTTATATACAATTTCATCTTTAGAGGCCACATATCTGCCATTTATGCATTTTACTTCAGAAAATTTCCACAGTTAATTAGCTGAGCTTCTCATTCATAAATACTGATTAGTCTAGAGGTATTCTCATTCTGGAGAAGCAATGTTATACCTGTACACCAAAGCACAGAAAAAGAGTAAGAAATAATAAGCCAAGCAACTTGAAGGCATGATATAAAAGGAAAGGAAATCTAATTAAATCTAGTTTACACCAATACATTCCATTATTTCACTTCACATATTTTTGTCCTTCCTTCCACCAAGTCCCTGTACCACTTTTGTTATTATTTTTTTCACCTCTCCCCTTTTGAGGATGTAATTAGTTCATTCCCAATATGACTTTCTTTTACCACTTTTATGATTAAAAACAACTGGCTTGCTCTTTAATACATTTGTTTTTGGACCCTCCATTTCTTTTTTGCTTCACAGGATCTATTTAATATTTGCCGCTAATCACTTGAATTGTTAATCCCCTGCACAGCATCGTCCCCGTACAAAATGGTTATACATACATGTCCCCAACTCACACAGGTCTAATATCACCATGAGTATGAGTGTACATTTAGGCATAATATTAATCTACCGGGAGAAAATGGCTCAGCCATGTCTTTCACACTGCTCAGGTTTGAGCCATTGGTTAAATATTTAGTTTATTCCCCTGTATTCCCCTGTACCACATACATCAGCCAACATTCATCTACATAGTTGTGCAAAATATTTCATTCTTCAAGCTGATTCATTTTTGTAATGTTTTCTCTATGTACAATGCAAATTTCTCATATCCACATACTTTTCTATAACCTTCTGAAAGGCAAAAATTTGGTGTGTGTAAATCATTGACCTGGGCTGAATATGTTGATGGCTGATGCCAAGCTTAGTTTATGCCCACACTGGCTCTGCCAGTGATCCTACCATTAAATGCAGGTCTAGGACACCTCTTCACAGCCAGCTCGCCATAGGACAACTTGTCATGGACAATTCGCTGTGGGACAATGTTCCGTGAACAAGAGTTACATTAATATCAAAGAAATTGTGGAATATAATCATTAAAGAAAGGATGTCAAAGGAGGGACAAAATGAAATGGGAATGACAAAAATTAAAATATTTTTAAAATTATTTTAAATAATTAAATTGAATTGTTGAATTGTTTTGCGGTGAGTTGTCTGGTGGCGAATTGGCCATGGCGAGTTGTCCTGTGGCGAATTGGCTGTCATGAATTGGCCATGGCCAATTGGTCATGTGGATTGGCTGCAGCGAGTTGTCCCATTCCGATCAGACGCTGCCCTATCAACCATGATGCTAAAAAGTATCTGCTGGAAGGAATCCTTAGATATCATTTTCTTTATCGTTTACTGTGTATTCATCCTTCTTTTTTTTATCAAACCATTTACTTTATCAATTTTTTCTTGAAATGCTGTTTTGAAATAAATTACTGATGCAACCCCTTTTCATATCATTTTTCATATATAAATGCACAAACATTGTTTGACAAACCTCACTCCAAACATGCATTCTGAAGTGATACATTTTTCTGTGTGATGGTAAGATATTCAAGGGCCAAGCAGAGGAAAATAAAAACATTCCAATACTGTATTTTTGGGAGTGAAGCTTGCCAAATTTCTTCTGTGGCTTGAAGTCTTTCTAGAAGCTAGCTTGACTTAAATAAGTCTTTAGTTTTAAATTGGTACTACTTTAAATTAATAACTATGATTCAAGGCTGCATGGATTTGTGGAAAGAGATGATAGTTTTAAAGATGTCTTCCTAAAATACCAAAACTCTAGCAATTGTTATTGAACAAGATGTGATATATGTTCTCTATCCCCAGGCTGTGCTGATGGAGAGTAGGCACACTAGGTAGCACTGTTAATACTAATCAGAATTTGAAAGTTACTCCATTTAACCCAGCCCTCACGGAGTTGTAATTTGAAGGGTATAAAATCTGATCCAGCTAAACGTTTCATGCACGTGCAAACAATAAAGCTCTAATGGAAATCATGAAGCTCTGAACCAAAACAAAAAGTGCTGGTTTCAGGAAGAAATACTCTGATTTAAGTGCTTCTGTCCTCATTCTAATATTTTGTATTTTTACTTTGCAGGCAAACATAGAGAAGCCAGGTTTGAATAAATCAGAGCAGGCAGGACGAAATGCTTTATTGTCAGATATTACCAAAGGGAAACGGCTGAAGAAGGCTGTTACCAATGATAGGAGTGCCCCAGTTCTTGATAGTAAGTACTATATCCTTCTAGTGGAATGGCTGAGCCTGTGAGCCTGAACTCTGGAGGCCTCGAACCTTCCTTCTCAGAGGCCCCCTGGGTGTTGCCTTGGTCCTGCTTCCTTCTTTGGAAGAGTCCCTTGATAGTTGTCTCTGCTACCATCTGTCTCCCAGGGATGTGGTGTACTTTCCCCTAACCATTGATAATTTTTTAAAAAGCGTCAGAGAGAAATTACTCCAAATCATAAAGACTTTAAAAAAGGAATATTACACCTGCACCAATGAAGATATGTATAAACAGTTAAAATATACTCAGTTACAGAGTTTGCACAAAAAAGGAAAATGACAGGAAATTTAAACATCAAGAGAGAAATATACAACAAAGTTCTAATGCAAATTCCACCTTTAGCCTTGTGATCTGTTCCTTCAGAAATATAATCCTCTTCAAAAAAGATATTTTATCTGATTCCATTTCTTGTACTTCCTTTTTTCTTGAAAATTACAAACTTTAACCTGAGCTCTGAAGAACTTAAAGCCTTCATTTCTTAGCCTTAACGTTCAGCAGATTTTCCTTCAATTTTAAGAACAAACAAAAATATTATGCTCTGAATGACAAATAAAGCATTTCTTCTTCAACAAGATATGGATGGAGACATCTAAATTGGCACAATAGCCGTCTGTGGCAGAGATGTCAAATTGGAGGCCCGCGTGCCGAATCCATCACATGCAGGCCACGGCCACCCTGGTTCTGCAAAAGCAAAAACCGTTGTGATACATCATGTAACACGATCGAGTTTGATACCTGTTGTCTATGGGAATCTGAATCTGCAGCCTATTCATTCACAACAAACATTTCAATATATGAGAGAAATATGGTTTTCAGTTTTCTCAGAACCAGTCTGTTTTACCTTTCTAGCAATTAAAATATTAAATATGTAAAACTTGAAATAATTTATATAGTAACTCCCTCAGTTTCTACTTGTATAACTGGAGGTTCCAACCATTCCACTCTCCTTAGAGGGCAGACCAATCTCACCTGAGATAAATAGAATAAAATATCATTAAAAGAAGAAGAAAAATACAGCCTTTAAAATTTAAATATGTGTAATGCAAACATTTAATAGTGAAACTGGTAAGTTATCGAGTTGTTCATATCATAGAAAAACAGCCACATAAATAAAAAGAAGAAAATGCTCCCAACAGGCTACAAGAAGTTGCTCATCTACAATAAATAGGATTTTTCAGTCCCAAAGCCCCAGTGAAAAGATGAGAAATTTTCTATATTATCACTACCATTATCATCCTTAAAACATATTAATTTGTTTGAATGATGTCTCAACTGTAATTCTAAAGCTAACATAAAGCAGAATTTCCTAATTTTTACCAAGGTAATTTATTCTAAGATAGAGTGAAAGAAATTCTGTTTCTCTTCTTAGATTTCCTTTTACCTAGCAATAAATGCCAGACATTAATCTGAGGTTGGGGGGAGATTTTATTCAAAACAATCTGCATGTAGTCATTCCAAGGACTTCAATTTATATGGTTGCCAGCCCTCATGATGAAAGATTGGCCTACTAGCTGAACATTATGAGAATTGAAGTCCAACACAGCTGCAAGGGACCAGATGGGAGAGGTTCATTTGGTGAGTTAGCATCACAGACTTAAAGTAATTGCTGTACACTAAACCAAACGTCTATTGATTAAAAATTCTTAATTAATATGATTATAGATATATAAAGACTCCAGTGGTAGACTCTAAAGCAATTTTCTGTTTAGGGACGGAGTGGTTATTATTTAATTTTAGCTAGATATAAATAGCCAACTAAGTATCTGTGGGTTCAGAATCATGATTTAAGGACCCTTCCCTCTCTTTGCAGAACCAAAAGGACCAGGTGGTGGCGGAGGTGGCAGCTCTGGTTTCTCCAGTGGTAGCAGTGGCAACAGTAGCAGCGGTAATAGTTATGGTGGCGGTGGCCCACCTGGCTTAGGAGGATTGTTCCAAGCAGGGATGCCGAAACTTAGATCTACAAACAGAGATAATGGTAAGGAAGATGTGTGCTATCGAGGCAGTTGCATTCCTAGAAACACAGTACCTGTTTGGTCTGACTATACTTAACTATTATTAAATCAGTGAAGACAAAAACTCAAAAAAACTTTCTTCTCCTATCACAAATGAACACTGGTTTCTCTCAACAAGATATTTAGTTAATTTCCTGGGCTCTGCAGGCACGACAAAGGAAGGGGCTTCACACCTTTTCCGAGCCCCCAAAATCCACAAGTTTGCCTCAAAGTGCCACAAGAGTCTTCGCTTTTGGTCTATTCATTGCAGTGTCTATATTGAGTTATACAGTTGTTAATCGATCATGTGCACCTGAAACTGAACTTTGCTCCTTTACCCCACCCTAGATGTTCTTGGCACAATTGCTGTGGGTTTTTTTTTTTTTTTGTTATCAAGCATAGAAGTATGGAAACAACACATAAATTCTTTAAAAATGTTGACTCAGTATTCATTACTTAGGCATGTCCTCACTTGTACCTAGCCACAGTCCAAACATGTCCTGACATCATTTTTTTTTTCTCTGCGGGCTTCCCATGGTGCTGCCTTCACTTTATCTCCGAACCATTAATGGCCAGATTAAGCCATCTGTAGCTGTTAGGTAGTATCCACAATAACTTGAATGATTGATTATGTGGCATTAAGTCATTATTGACTCTTAGCAAGATAGACCTCCTCTATGACAATCTGTCTCTTCAGGTCTTCAAATGATGCACCCATTCCTACTCTAGAGAGCTAAGTCCTCACATAATATGTCCAAAGTAGAGTAGTTTAAGGCTGTCCATTTGCATCAACATTATTGAAAATCAGCTTTAGATTGTGTGACATCTGTTAGGTTTTGTTGCCCATTACCATGAAGGAAACTAGAAATAGAGGTGGCAGAGTTGGAACAGGGATTGGCAATGGGAACAGCCTGTCTTATGCCACTATAGTTTTCTGTTGAGTCAAGGTAGGTAGAAAATATTTTTTAACTCAGTTGTGTGGAAAGATTATTAAGCCAGGATCGTCGGGGTTCACCATAGCTTTTTTTTCTGCTCCTCCCCTATCTAGAGAATTATACTTTGTTGCTCCATTGCATTCAGGTCCTTGCCTATTTATTTTATTCATCAATAATATATCCTGCTTTGCAAAGTTCAAGATGCTAGCCAAGAGATTTTTCTTTTTTATCTATACAATAGTTCTGTGAGCTCAGTTAAGCAATTTGTCCAATTTATTAATCAACCCAAAGTCCATCAATTCAGCTCCAAAATAGTGCATTTTCTAGGCTGCATTGATTTGTTTAATAAGTTGGAGTTATATAGTATATTAGTTGGATTTGCATATCACACCAAACCACAATGCTGGTTTGATTTGGATTTAGCATGTTATGTATAAAATTTTAATTTATAACTTAATGAAGTATGTGCCAATGAACTCATTGGTTAAATTATGGTTTAGTATGAAATGTAGACCTAGTCAGGAGATTGTGAAAGTTAGTAATAACTTTCCATTAGGCTGTCTTTTATTTGTTTTCATTGTGCTGGTATCAAATTTTGGAACAGCATACCGGAAGAAGTGTGATAGGTTTATTTTAGTTATTTAAGATGCTTATTCACCAACTTTCATTTTAAAAAGTCCAACAGCATTTTATAATAGCAGTATAAAATTACAAGATGGCAAAAAAATAATAATATAAACAGTGCAGAGATTTCCAAAAAGCAATATGCATTGTACCACATGATTTATTAGTTTCCTGATGCTTCAATATATTTCTTGACCAGAGAATATAAGCCAGGGAGTTTACAGGAAGACAGTATTGTACCTTTTTTGTTTGCAAGTATATATGTGAATGAAGTAGCACTTGTAAAATACTTAAAGTGCACTTTCAACAAGTGGTGATGTAACAGTTGTTCAAAGCCAGCATTATCTCTTATGTCAAAGCAGCTTTTTATAGATCTTCCTTTTAATATCATAGCACTTAACATGCCAGAGTTTCTTTGAGAGGTTGCCGTTACTCCTTCAGCAAATTCAGGAATGGCCAAGAAATCCCTTTCCCCTTCCCTCTCGTTTTATATTGTATTGAACAATTTTATATTGTATTTTCTTCAAGAGCTACAAAGTATATCTAATTATACTTACTGAAATTAAAGTAGAGAGGGTAATAACTTGAAATAAATGGAGCCTAGTTCAAATATGTAGTGAAAACTTCCTAAAAGCAGTTGTAAATTTCTTCTCTCTGTGATCTGGTTTGTATTAGCCATTTTCCAACCTGATGACTTCCAGACGTGTTGGACTGTTACAAGCCCTATCATCCACAATGGTTTGGGGGCTGAGGGTTATTGGAATTGTAGTTCAGCATGTTTGGAAGTGCCTGAATGAGGAAGATTGCCTGTTGGCACATATATTAGAGGAAGCAGCTGTTGATTCATGTTTGCACCTTTTCGACAAGCATCCACTACTATAGGTCCAAATTGATTATTCAGAATCCTCCAGATACCATTTATTTCCCCTTCTCCATACCTCTGTACATGCACCTACTAATTACTTTCTTTTTTTTAGACTCTGCAGGAAACAAAACTCCAGTATTTCCACCAGGAGGGCGAGCAACATCTGCAAAGCCCTTTTCACCTCCAGGTGGAGTAGGCAGATTTCCGGGCTCTTCTGGACTAAGAGCTCCAGCTCCAGAGCCACAGAGAAACCGAATGCCTCCCTCAAGACCTGACTTTGGCTCCAGGCCTGACACGGGTGCTCCTCCTGTGCCAAATACTCCCAGACCTATTCCATCCAATCTGTACAACAGGGGACCCCCCCCTGTGCCCGGCGCCAGCAGACAAGCGAGCTTAGGGCTTACCCCTCCACCTTTCCCGGGTAATAGAAATTCAGGGCCTGGAGGCTCCATTCGACAATCATCACCAGTTAGTTCTCCTTCTCCCTTCTCAAACAGGCCTCCTCTCCCTCCAGTACCAGGTAGGCCAACAGAAGATAAGACACCTCCGCCACTGCCTCCAAGTGGAAACAGGCCATCTTTCGGCAGGGAGGCTTCCCTGCCACCTCCCCCGCCCCAAAACCACAAGCCACCAATTCCTTCCACACCACGGCCACCTGCGGTATCTCAGGTACCTCCTCCTCTTCCCCCAAGTCGGCCAGGCCCACCTCCAGTTCCACCGGCATCTGGTGGAAATGATGAAATGCCACGGCTTCCTCAAAGGAATCTATCGCTAGGCGCTTCTCAACCTCCATGTCTGCCTGGCTCCAATCGCTCTGGACCTCCCCTTCCTCCCCCAGTTGAGAGACCACCACCTCCTGTAAGGGACCCGCCTAGCAGATCAGGTAAGATTTATCAGCATCCTTCCAGGGTGGGTTACTACAAAAATGTAAAGCCATCTTTTGAACGCAGGGTTATGCAATATATATCCATACATAAATAGTGTGAGGGTAGTGGGGGAGGGACAGAAAACATGGTCAGATAAAAAAAAACAATGACTCCACGGAAGCCATGTAACCCAACAAAACCCTCCCTAGTTATCATAAAGATAAAGGGAGGAAGAGAGAAGCAAATTTATACTTGCAAGATTTGTTGTTATGGCTTTGCAGTATAAATACTACTAACCTATGACGCTGGATTCCTAGTCTGATCTACCTGAATAGTTGACAGAGGGATGGATGGAGGGTTGGATACTATTCTTAATGTTCTCTGAGCTTGTTTTTTTGTTGTTTCGTTATCAGGCCAGGTAACAACATGGAGGGTGAAGTTCACTAGCTGTTTACTTACTAGCCCCAATTGTTCTTTTTTATCTGGTTCCAGTGTTTGCTTATCTGACTGTTGGTTAAAAGATGTGAGAAGAGGGATAAGAGGGTTTAACTCTGTTTGCCTATTCTCTTCAACATTCATTTGATTGCTTTCTTTCTGAAACGGATTGTAGACAGAGCTTATCTCAGTGTTTTTGTTTATGGCTGCTTTGTAGGAAAATTCAGCCTCCTATAGGAAAAAAATCCTCCTTTAGGAATTCCCTTGCATTTTTGGATTTGGCTTAGTGTAGGATACATACTGTGTTCTAACTGAAACTCTGGCTGAACTTTTCAGTATGCTGTAAACTTAAGATACATGATTGTTATGTCTTATGATTACCAGTTGATCTTCATGGAAGCTTTCTCAAACTGAGAATTCAAACTCTGCCTCTTTGCCCCAAGTAGAGCTAAATATGTATCTGTGAGAAGCTGCCTAGGAAATGATCAGACAAGGGTGGCAGGAGCCCACAATGATTGAAGAAAGAAACTTAGGAAGAACCTGCCTGAATGGATTAAGCAATTTCAAATGTCAACCTTGTACTTTAAGGCTTGCAAGATTCTGTTGATGTAGCCTTGCAATAAAGTAGAATGCTCTCATCTAGTTGTGTTTCCTGTCTGGTTTACCTGTTTGCTTATAGCTTATGAGGAAAATGGCTGTGTTTTTCCAAAATAGGGCACTGGAGGAGGGGGGGGGGTTGTTTGGAGAAGAGTGATTGGCTCTGCCAAAAATGTACAGTAACTACTTTTTGTCCCCATTATATTCAGGATTTCTCCCTCCACCTCCACTAACCAGAAACGGAAGTACTTCCAGGGCACTGCCAGCTACTCCCCAGCTTCCCTCAAGAGGAGGATTTGAAAAACCCAGAGGTGGGGCTGTGCCCCCACCTCCTCCCGATAGGCCAGGTTCTGGAGCACCCCCACCCCCTCCACCCTCACTCCCCTCATCTGCCCTCCGAAATGGCTTCCAGGATTCATCCTGTGATGGTGAGTGATGGTATTCCTGTTTTGACATTGTGTGAATGCATAGATTCCAATCTGTCAGTAGCGGGGTGGAAAAATATGATTTGTGAGCCTCACACGTACAATAGCAGATAATGGAGAGCTCTCGCAATAACAGCTGGAAGAACTTTCTTGCCTTCTCTGCATGGATGCAGGAGCTCTTTGCATTCCTTACAGCAAGAGAAGAATTTTCCATCTATGCTGGACTCTTGCAGACACAGAAAACTAGAAGGGAAATAAAGGGTCCCAATCATTGAGGCTTCTGGGGAATCAACTTGCCTTGAGCTTATGGGAGAAGAAGCATAAACAGATTAGTGATTAGCCACCATTCTGCTCGTTATGGATGTTCATCTCCAGTTTATACATCTATCTCATTTCTTAGTTTTGTACATAAACCAATCAGTCCACAGTTATTTGGCTTCCGATTTACACAAAAAAGGAAGTGAAAGTAGAGAGTAAACAAGGGAGCAGGAGCAGATTGGACAAGACTTCAGATTTGCACAGCATCTGTTCTTCTGGCCACTTCCCTTTGCTTGAACTCTTCTTGCTTATTCTGCCATCTGCAGAGGACAGAAGCGGAAGGAGCAACCATAATGAGCTGGATGATGGCTAATCACCAGTCTAATTATGCTTCTTCTCCCATAACCTCAAAGCAAGATGGTTCCCTATAGGCCTCTCTGATGGTATTTGGGATCATTTATTCCCCCCTCTTGCTTTCAACAGCAATGTTAGCAAGAGTCTTGGTGTTTATGGAAAATTCTTCTCTTGCAGAGGTTCTGGAAGGAACTCTGCATTCCTTCCAGAATGTAAAAAAAGATCTCCCAACTGTACAGTGAGAGGTCTCCATACCTGTCATTGTATATATGAGGCTCACGTATCACATTTTTCCACCACTCTTAATTCATATAATAATCAAAGTAGGCTAGTTAAAAAATACTGATTTTTTTTAGACGTAAAGGATGTTTCATTTCAATGTAAACTTCGAAGATGATGGAGGAAACAAATCTTTGACCACCTTAGAATTTATATATTAGCCCTTGTATTTTATTCATTAAATGCATCAATCTTGCTAGAGATAAAAACTATAAGAGAAGCTGAGCCTGGCTATCTGGATAAGTTATATTACAGAACATTATTGCTGTAAGGATAGTATAAATGTTTTCGTGAGTTAATAGTAGATGTTGTAAGCTCACTTGTTGTTAGTAATGTTTTTATATGGTTTCATGACCAGTGCCAGTTTGATTTTAGATATATGGACTGGGTGAAGTTAATGAGAATGGAAAGAGGAAGTGAAAGGAATTTACTGTTCTTTTCAGTTAAACATATTTGTAGTAATATAAAAGTCCTGTTAAAAACAAATTAAAAGTATGTAGTATCATGAGACAATTTAAGGGAAAAAAATGGATACATTCAAGACATGTTGGATGTCAACTTACCCTGAATCAAAGGGATGTACAGTATTGCTGTTGGAAAAATGAAGTGATTTGAAGCTAAAGATGTTCCAATATTTGGAAAGATAATGCCATCCTGTATAGTCTCATGAAAAATAACTCCAACTATGCTAAACAAGATCTATTCACATCTGGATGTACTCCCAGTTTAAGACTGGTTTGCAAAATATAAACTCTGTTGAATAATATGTCATCAATCCAATATTTTGAAAAATGTAGTAGTCAGCTTTTATTGAATACTGTGCCTATTAGTTGAGATTTATATTATGCCTATTAGTTGAGATTTATATTTACAAGATTTGTCTTAAATATGCACTAATGTTACACAATTCCTTTATGTTTATCTAGATGAGTGGGAAAGTAGATTTTCCTTCCATCCTCTGTCTGACTTGCCACCTCCAGAACCATATGTGCCCATGAACAAGTGTTATCCTAGTAAATTGGTAAAAAATGACAATAGAAGTAAGTATTTTTCCCTTTAGAAGGTAGATTTAATAATAGTGTACTTGGTGAATTATTTCTGAGTTGAAAATATGTGAAATGTTTTGAATACTCATCACACTCCATAAATATTGAATATGATTATTTTTGGTAAGATCATGGAAAGAGTACCAGTTTTCTCAACGGGAGTGACTCTAATTCTGCTCTCTTCCCCAATGAGTTATTTCAGTGATCCAATTGAATGGTCTGGTAGATTGCAAGATACAGAAAGTCAGATAGATAGGCCATAGGTTACTCATAAGTGCTAGTCAGACCTACCTCAACCCACCTCTGTTTGCTGAAAAGGCAGATAGATACCTCCTGTGCCAAGATAAGTAGCGAAAGATGGAGAAACAAGATTGCATTGACTTTCTGCTGATCTGCTCCTACTGCAAATATTGGAGAAGGGAGAAGCACAAACCACTAGCTGTGAAGAAAAGATAACCAAGCAGAAAATAAATACAATTAGCCAACAAATTTTTATTCAATGAAGTTCCTCTATCTTTACTCATCCTTCAGAATTGTCAGCAGATAGAATGACTATTCTTCGTGTGGTGATTCACTCTAATTCAGCATCATTTTACATCTGGTGTGCACCAGAGGGCATAATAATAAAATCTTAAGGGACTAGATTTTAGGAAAATCTCAACATTTTCACTGCTGAGAAATGATACTGTCATATTACTCTCATGCATCATAAAAATTGTTGCTAGCGCTCAGTATAGTATTTAGTAGTCAAAGCACCAGACTAGAAGCCAGGAGAATGTGAATCCTAGTCCTGCCTTACACATGGAAGCTGGCTGGGTGGTTTTTAGCCAATTCCCCCTTCTTCAGCCCAACACACCTCACTGGGCTATTGTTATGGGGAAAATGGGAGGAGGAAGGAGTATCTTGTGTATTTACCACATTGAATTATTTATAAAAACAATAAAGGTAGGATACAAATAAATATTCTAATTCCAAAGATATGCTGTTTATAACTTTAAACAGTCATTTAATCAAAGTTTAATATTAAAAGGTTTATAACCTGCAACGTATGTTCTGGGCCATAAAGTGCTTATATACAATCTATTTTCTTTTCCTTTCACATTTCTTCTCTTTTGAAAAGCTTAATTTGTCTTCCTTTTTGGGGTGGTAGGAGAAGGTTAGCTATAATGCTGCATTTAAGGGTGCCATAATTCTGCTATGCCAATAGATGTTTCTTCATGGCTTTAAAAATCACGGTAGCCAAATCTTGAAAGGTTGACTAATTTGAACTTTTAAATAATTTATTTTTAATGATATTGTTTTTATATTTGTATAGCTTAGAATTGCGATCCCCAACCTTTCTGGCTTGGTGGCCTGACCAGGGAGTGGGGACCGTGGCAGGGGGGGGGGAAGAGGGGATGGTTCTGTGTGAATGGCAGGCCCGCAAGCAAGCACGCACAGCTCCATGCCTTTCGCACAAATGGAGCTTCACATGTGAGCGTGACTGCCCGCTGCTCACTCAAATGAGCTGCATGCACACATGTTCACCTGCCACTCACATGGCCCGGTTCCAAATGGGCCAAGGCCCAGTAGTCAGGGAACCCCTGGATTAGAACATTGTATGGAGTTGCATGAAGGGGTCTATTTGCCGAAAGGACAGCTAGCTGCCGGAGCGTTCCATTTTCATCAGGATGGTGAAAGTGTCACAGCATTACAGTGTAGACTCTGCCCTTTCATGTATGTGTGTAATGTAACAGTGTGCGTAAAGATGGGGCAGATTTTGAATGCTGGGGCTAGAATACTATGGAAATTCTGCCCTGTCTCGCCCTCTCCCTGGGGATGCCATCATTGCTGACCCACAAGCTGTAACTTTACCACTTACCAAGATGTCTTTTTAAAAGAAGTTCCTATATGTTTAATGTTTCAAACCTGTTTCCATCCAACAAAGAACAAATAAATCTGTCAATAAAAGGTGACTGTAAGGTTTCCTTTCTCTTTCTTTAGGTGGATCCAGTCGCAGAGAAAGAGGTGCTCCACCACTTCCACCCATCCCACGATGAAGTGGGCTTCTAATCCTTTTCAGGATGACTGTTGTCCTTACATGTTCTTTGAACTTCTCCACATGTCACAATGTCCCTTCTCCAACAGCACTTTTGAGCACAACTCCCCAACTTTAGGTTTTTTTAAAAAAAAAAATCCATTTAATTTGGTGAAGATCAAGGACTTGCTTTGAATGGCCTGCCTACGTTGGTTTAGATACAGGGTGACTGCGATTTTATTCCCCATTTCTTGGCCTTTAGTTCTACTGATACTAGTGGAACTTGGTTCCAATAAAATGCCAAAGTATCCTTACCTTGAAAGCTATCTTCAAAACTTCTTGGAAACTATCATTTGTTGCAGTTCTGCTCAGCCTTGTCATCAACAAGGAGAGAAAAGCTGCCCTGGTTTATAACATAATATTCTTAGATGTAATTCCTGGAGATGAAAATCTTCCCTATTTCTATGGGTGGAAGTTTGGTTCACTTTTTAAACTGTAATCTCTGTGAGATTACTGATCAATTTGATATGGCCCATTTGGCCATTAAAAAAACAAACGCTGTGGCACAGTAATTGCTACATTCCACCTCTAGAAGGAGATTGAGATAATTACATTTTCTCAGGCAATCTGTTTGACCTGTAATGAAAGAAGGTTGCCATCGAGGTTGCTTATAACTTCTGTTACAGCTTTCATAAATGCATCTCAGTCTAGCTGTTGGGCTCAACTGAAGTGGAGAATTAAAAAAAGAAAAATATTGGGCACTCAATCATTACGTTGGGATGATTGTCACTGTCATCTTGAGGATTACACCATCACTTCACTAATGGTTATACTATTAGACCTCCCTTCTAAGATGTATCGTACCCAAAGCTTTCCAATATGTAATTGTTTACTATAAAAGCCTATATTTTGATCTGCGAAAGACAGATACTCAACAATTATTTAGTGTATCCAAGTATCAAAGAATGCCACTAAGACTTTCTGTGACTTTTTGCTAATACCTATGTTCTGGACCTCCATTTTTATTATGGTACAAGTTGAAACTTTTGAGTATGGGAATTTTTTATTTGACTCATATGTGCTTCAAACAGCTTTTCTTTTGCGTGGCAGCTACTAATCAAACATCCAGCTATATGTAGGAAATGTCTAATTATAGAACAGATTCAATTGAGCTTTTTACAAGCTCTCATTTAAGTTTTCAACCTGGGTTCAGGAGAGTTTAGTATTTACGTTCTGATTTTGCTGCAATAATAATTCCTTTCACAGTATTTTCCTTACCTGAAAAAGATGCAAGAGAAGACTTGGTTATTGAGGGTTGGGACCATATGCTTTGGAATCCTGCCTGTCAATAAATGGATTTGCCAATTTGCAATGTTCATTTTATCAAACCGATATCAACATATGGCAAGAATCCTTAGAGAATTATGATTCTGTACTGAAATTCATGGGATAAGCTGCCCAGAGTGGCTTGAGGGTGAGGTGGAAAGCATATAAATGTAATAAAATAATAAGTAATAAAATAAAACACATACTTAGAGGAGATAAATTATGAAGATTTAATTTCAAGGATCTTCTTGGTTTTATCTGCCTAATACTTTGCAAGGTAGAGCCAGGAGAGTTAAAAGATGTTAGCAGAGTCTGTAAAGATTAAAAAAAGTAAAGATGGCAGATGTTGAGCGATGAGATGGTAAGAAGCAGAAATATTGATGAATCAATGTGTTTAATATAATGTAACGCACAATAGAATTGTGGAAAGGTAAAGTAAGATCTCTTTAGTCACATACATGAAAAGTAAACTCACATATTTGAGAAAAAGGTCTGAGGATACACTTGAAAGTGTTCACAACGGTATTTGTATTAGTGGCCTTATCAGCAAAGATACACCTTGGTGTAGTTCCTGTTTATGGTAAAGATAGAACTAAAGAGAGCAGAGAATATAACTTGGCATTTTCCGCGAGTGTTTGTATGTTGTAAGTTTACTTTTTTGGATTAAAATAGACTGTCTTAGTGTTGAGGTTCATTCTTTGAACCCATTTCTGTGATGGAATTGGTATGTAATGAATACCTTTCAGGATCCAAAATCTGTACCCACACAAATTTTGCTATCAAATCAGAGATTTACATAAACTATAATCAGAAATAGGTTTCAGCACTTTTCAGGGTCATATATGGTCTAGAATTATATTTTTCAATGGACTGTTGCCCTGTTTGTACATACTTAATTCTGACATTCATACAGATGAGTCATTCCAGTTTCAGTCTGATTGCCATTGTACAGTATGTGTGTATGAATTATAAACAACTTCAACACGATGAAAAATATTGAATTATTATTTCATTTTGTTGCAGAAACTGGAATATTTATGTTTTTTGTATTACCCAGATTTTTTATATGCAGCAAGATCTCTGCATCTTGTATATGTAGTTTGATAGTCAATTTCTTTCTTTCTTTTTTTTTTACCATATAAAGGGAATGTGGCAGAAAGAAATTCCAAATTCACTGCAATTGCAGTAGTTAATGTAATAGAACCCTTTGAGCTAGAAAACTTGGACAATCTGATTTATCAATGAAAGGGCCTGTCATACTTGTACTCTTATGCTAGTAGATTAGCCATTATAAATAAGGTTATAGAGCACTGTTCTTCTGCCAGTAAATCAGGATCAGTTTTCTGGTGTTTTCTGGCTCCAGAGGGATGTCAATTCCAAATCTCTTATCATTCAACAACTTTGACCATTGCTGATTAGGAGCAATGGGACTTATAGTTCTAACACATTCAGAAAGAACCAGTTTAGGAAAAAACTAGTCAAGATACATGAAGAAGTATAAGTCAGCCAAGAATAGAAAGAGCAGGCAAATAATAAATATACATGTACTCTGCTTAATTATTTTTTCTTATTGTGCTTAGTTATAAGCACATACGGATAATACTGCTTACTATAACTACAACTATTACTACTAAATAGCTGCCATTTTTGTGGTATTTAGAAAATTAGGTCTGTTTTTTTTTTACTGTTAATTAATCAAAGAATTAATTTGGCAAATTTTACTTCTAGTGCAATATAATCTGAAATTCCAACCAAAGCCTTAACATGCAGAATGTGATGTGGCCTTCAGAGAGAAACATGGTCGTCTCTCTTTCTCAGAGGATAATTAGCACTTTCTCTTCTATAGGAATCTTCCTCAAAGAAGTTATGCTAAATACTGTAAGAAAATATTTCAAAGGAGAAGAGATTTGTTTTGGTTATATAAACCACATCTCTCTTTCTTTCACCAGATATATTTTAAAAACAACATCTTAGTATAGATGTGTTAGAGTACATGTTTATTTATGCACAATAAACGGGGACAAATAAAATCAGATTTTCATCCCTGGTGCCTTGAAACACCTTGGTGCCTTGAGTCTAAATGGCAGCTTTGAAAAGAAACAAAACTTATTGTCTCCACTGTGAATTTCAAATACAACATTTATACTTTATCATGTGTGATACTCAAGCAACGTACAACCCACAGTATTCACCATGTAGCATCTTATTGTACTACACAGAAATACAATAAATTGCAAAAGATTCATCAGATTGCAATTTTAAGATCATTATTTAGCAGTAACTTGGATGGATGAATTCATGGAAATTTTGAGATGAGTGTGTTTAAAATTTGAAAAAAAGCAAAGTTTAAATACTTTTCATACGAATGAACCAAATCATTTGTGGAATAACAGGATATGCATTTTAAATACATGATCAATACCTTCCTTTTTATAAAATTGCACATATATCATGGAAAAAAACATGCCCATATTGTAAATAAGGTTGTTTCTATTTGACTTTAGGTTATTAACATGCTTATCTTAAAGTACATGTTCATGAGAAACTAAATGGCAAGTGAATTTCTTGCATGTACAAAGGAATAAAAATTAAAATGATGCAAAGGTTTGTCAGATGGAGCCGTATTTGCCTTTGTTATATGCAAAATGAGGGTGGATAACCTATCTGGTTTAGAAGCTCATCATTAAGTGGCCACCAAAGCACAAATACTTCAGTGGGACTGTACAATGGGTAATTCAGTGCAGTCCTCTTTGATAGTGCCAGTTCTCTTGTAATTGGATATCCTTCCTATCTCCCAGAATTGTATTACCTCCATCTAAAATTTTTGTTTTGTTGTTTAAGAAATGTAATGAACATAAAAAATCTATATGAGCTTAAGATTCTGCTTTTCATTTTAAAACATCTGCCGGTCTGGGTTTTAATAAAACTCATTTTGAGTTTTCTGTTTCACATTTAAAACTGACCACTAGATGGTGCTCTTTTGTTTTTAGTTAGATCTCTTGCTGGAAAAGTAGTCCTTGCTTAACAACCTTAACTGGGACCAGGAACTCTGTTAAGTGAAGTGGTCATTAAGCAAAAGATCATGTGACCATTAGCAATGACAGGGCTGGTTATGGTCTGTAAATAAATCACCCATGGTCATTAAGCAAGATATCATGACCATGGTTGTGGAACACCCCCCCCCCCCCATTGGCTTTTCCAATAACTGCTTGTCAGGAGTCAGCTGGGAAGATTGAAAATGGCGACCATGTTACCGTGAAGACTGGTCATCACTTTTTTCAGCACCAGCATACCTTTGAACAGTCACTGAACAAGTTATTAAATGAGGATTATTTGCAATAAAAATTGATAGCATCCAAATTTGCTTATTTTGAAATCCATAAGGTAAGACCTGTGACAACTGAATGACACTTAGGCCTCAATTAAATAAAAGGCTATTTTTTAAAAAATGTACCATATATTAACACACACTGCTTAATTTTATGGAATATAGGTATCTGAATTAAATCACACATGGGCAAACACACACACACAAATACAATTCAAATTAAAATATATAATGAAATCAAATGCAAACTTAAAAAAAACCCTATACAAATTAGGCAGCAATATAGCCACTGCATTTAAAGCAATTTCAATTAAAGTACAATTTAAAAGCTTGGGAAAGCAGATTTCCACCTCATGCCAAAATGAAGCCAATGTGGGCACCAGTTGAACCTCTTTAGGGAGGGAATTACATAAATGGGGAATTACATAAACCACTACAGAAATAGGTCTCCCCTTTATGGAGGCCTACATCACCACCTTTGATGGATGGATCTGCAGGACAATCCCCATTATAAGATTTTTAAGATTAAAGGAGGTACATGTGGGAAAAGGCATATCTTGTAGGGGCCTAGTCCTAAACTGTTCAGGGCTTTACAGGTGAAAAGCAGCACTGTGAATTAGGGCTGGAAAACAATTAGCATTCAACATAGATGGAAAGCACTGGCATAATATATATTGGTATCCATCAGGCCCTTGAGTAGTCTAGACTGTTTTGAATCAACTCAGGTCCCCAGACTGACTTGAAGGCAGTTGTACAAACCACATGTTGCAGTAATTCAACTGAAAAGTTACCAAAGTCTGAACAGGTAATCCCTGTTTACTGACTCTGCCCAGGTAAGGTCATAGATGTTAAAAAATCAGTTGAAGCTGATACAAAAGCTACCAAGGTTACTTCAAGTAATAGTGATGGATCTAGGACCACACCCAAATGCAAATCTGCTCCTTTGGGGCAAGTGCAGATACTTCAGAACTAGCAGAACACCACATACAGTATCTTCTCTGGACTGAGTCTCCATTTACGGGCCCTCATTACTGTGACCAAACACTGATTCAGGCACCAACTGTGCCCCACCTGAGTTACAGGCAGAGCAAGATCTGGGCTTCATCTCCATACTAATGACCTCCAGCAATGGCAACTGGGTTGGGTGTCATCTCAGCCCAGTTCCTGAGTGACTTCTCCCAACTATTTCACATGGAGGTGTTAAAAAGATATGAACTCATGAAGGATTCTATAAGCTAACCACCATGAGGCAAAGAGTAATCTAGTATCACTTTTTAGAAATAGTCACCCTAGGGCAGGGGTGTCAAACTCAATTTCATTGAGGGCCACATCAGGGTTGTGTTTGACCTTGGGGGGGTAGGGGGGGGCGCTGCCAGGGGGTGTGTGGTCGACATCACTTGTGTTGGGGGCACCTGTTGTGGCCGGAGCACTCTGCCAGTGAAAATGGGCTCCCAAGTTCCGTTTTCATCTGTGATGGCCTCCTGCAACCCTGTCAGCAAAAACAGAGCTTGGGACTGCTGTCCATGGCCCTCATGAGCTCTATTTTCAGCTGTGATGGCCTCCTGCAACCCTCTGCCATTGAAAACGTAGCTCAGGAGGGCCGCAAGCTGCCCTCCCGTTCCGTTTTTGCTGGCAGAGGCACTGCTGGCTGGTCCTTCACTGTTTCTAGGGCAGCCCCGCGGGCCAGATCTAAGTATCCCATGGGCCGGATCCAGCCCCTGGGCCTTGAGTTTGACACCTCTGCCCTAGAGGAACCACTTTAGTACAGCATCCCCAAAACCCAACTTTTGACAATTAGGATCCCATGGTATTGAGATTCTAAAAAAGGTCCAGAAAGACCAACAGGACCGCACTCCCCATTTTTCTCCAGCACAAAGCAAACAGATGGTTTCTATTTCATAGCCAGTCTTGAAACAGGATTGAAATGGACATAGAAAGTCAATTGCACCCAAGAGAGCCTGGAACTAATGGGTCACCATCCATTCAAACATCTTGCCCAGTAGGGGATTATTAGCCACTGGGCTTTTCAGAAATGGCCTACTTAATGCCACATTTAGCTTTAGATGTAAATTAATATTTTAAAAAAGCATAGTGTTCTGACCCAAACCCTTTTTCAATAAAACAAACACTAACCAAAGGGAATAGAAACCTTCTAATGAGTCTTACGAATCCCCGATTAAAAGGCTGCTGCAAACTAATTAACTTTGATAAGCACAAACCTCACCAAAACTGCAAGACTGCCAAGAATCACAGATAAGAAATATTTCACAACACAAGAATCTTCAAATACCAATTTAAGATACTGTAATGTCCATGAGGCTGAGTTTCAAAACGTCTTTGCTTCCTGCAAAGAACATTTGCTTCACAGCTGGCTTTTATCTTCTTGAAGGAGGAGCCATTACCTTGCAGCCTTACTCCCGAGTCGCCCGTGCTGTTGCAGCTGCTCTTTTCTGCGAGCAATCCTGCACGCACGTGCACTTGGCACAGGATCCTCCTCATCGCTGCTGCCAGCCCCCACAATCTCTGAAGGCAGCAGTCCACTCCCTAATGGTCCTGGCCCCTCATCTGAGTCCTCACTCTCCTCAGCCGTCTGCACCTGCTGCTGGCTAACCACAATACATAGTTAATATTTTCTTTGGTCTTCAAAAGGTTTAAGTTATCTAAACATTAGAGTTTTAATAAGTTCCAGTGAATACTACATAAGCATCACTATATCCAAATAATACAATGTACGGTATTTGTGTTTTACAATAATACAATTTTTTAAAAAAGGAAGGTTCTGATCACTACCTCTTTAAAGAGGATGGAATTGTCCACCAATAATGGTAAATGCTTCATTGAGAGAGGTAACTGAATCAAAATAATAGCTTTTTGCAGATATGGATGCTGAAGTGCACAATGTGTTCTTCTAAAAGGTTTAGAGACCTAGGCTGTTGGAGCTTCTCTGTTGTAGCAAAATAGATATTAAAACACACAGCAAGTACCCTGTGGTCATAGTCAAAGCTCTGGAGGTTCCATGTAGCACTGGGGCACTGAATTCCCATTGCTTATTCTTCCCCCAGTCTCCCTACACTCTAGCACCCCTCAATCAACTTCCCCAAGTCCATTGTAGTACCTCCATACTCCTAACCTGGACTCCTTTACTTCCTGCTTAATGACCCATGTGTTTAGAGTTACAACAGCAACCAAGTTTGCTGGGATTGCTACTCTAATTATGGTCACAAGTCAAGGACTACCTGTATATTTGCTATGAAATAAGCTTTTGTTTACTCCTTCAGGTCTCTATAGCAGTATTGAGTTACCAGTATATAAATCCTTGTCTGGATAAAATGAGAAGAATGGAAAATTAAGCTTTAAATATTAACAAGGAACTTCACTATTTTTGGACCCAAGGCATTATACTGTATTGATAAGCTGACAGACATACCATATGATAATTTAAAAGTTGAAACTGGGGGGCAAGGGGCTCCGATTAAGCCAAGAGGGAAGAATTGTTCAATTGTATGTTGTTTTGCTTGTTTCAACCTGAAATGTGAGATGTGTTAATTTCTTACTTTAATGAAAATGGCTTTTTAGAAAACTGCTGGAGGGAAGGTTTGGCTGACTGAGAAAGATAAGCACACATACTGCTAAAGTAGATATGAGATTTGGCATCTACTGTAGACAACTAAACATTAGCAACTGAAGTTCAGTGTTAAAGTGGATATTAGTTATTGGCAACAACTTTGGAATGGAGTGTTCAGATACCTCACATTAACAAATCAGTGATTCATCAATGGACCTTGAGTATATTCACTGTTATAATCCTAACATGCAATTAATTCTACAAATGCCTTCTTTTCATGTTTATTGGATATGCTAGAGAATGCTTAAAAAGTATTGGTTTTTAACTTCATTATGATGTTGGGCATAAAATATTGGATGGAACTTTTACAATCCTGCAATTATTTCATCGTGGTTTTACATTTACTAATTTGTTTTAGGGAGGTATGTTTTAAAGATGTGTGTAATTCTGAATTATATGCCCAACATTTGTGTTTTATCAAAACGCAAAAAGTAATGGATTTATTGAGCATGGAGTATTGGGGGGGGGGGGGGGGGGAGAAACTCTTTTTTCCAGTGAGAAAGCAGTTTCACACTTTAAAAGCTTGCCTTTGTTGTATTTTTTTTGTATTTTCTTTCTTCCCCTTTACATTAGGGTTTATAAAAGAAAGCACCTGAAGTGGCAACAACATTTTCATATTGATTTCACCACTAGCATAAACGTACCTTACCCAATCCATCTGATTGCTTGCTCAAGACTGAGAGGCTTGGCCGTGTTAACATTTCCCCCCTTTCTTTCTGCACAGTTCAAGAGCAACTTCCAGGTGTGTTGTCACCTCTGCCTTGCAGGGAAGTCAGGTGGTTAATTGGTTTTCCAGAAGCAATAAAAATAGAGCTGGCTTACATAGTTTCTATTGCTTTGGCTTCTATAGCTTTGTACATACTCAAGGAGGGCGCAGTAGGGGAAAAGCCCGGTTTGGCTAACAGGACAAGCAGTTATATATACAGTATATAAAAAAGAGGAACGGCTGGCTATTGGAAAATAAAAACAATAATTAGAATCGAGGCTAACAGAGCCCAAGAATCTCCACCGTCAACACACAGCAGCTCAAATGCTGCAGGACTACCTTGCGCCGCATCATACGGCAGAACATTTGGGCATGTAGGAATTACTTCCGAGTAAACGCCTGCTAACTCATTACATAAAAGGACCAGCCACCCGAGAGGACGAGGTAAGCTTTACTAGTCAGGTAAAACGGAGCAAATGCAACCAGCAGGTGGGATTAACACGTGAGCCGCTTCCCTCCCTCCCCCTTTCTGGTGCAGCCACCCACGACCCCACCGCCATCTTGGCTAAACCCAGACGCGCGGGGAGGGCTCGGCCGGCTTGGACCCGCCTCTGCGGTGAGCTCACACGCAGCCGGGTTCAGCCCTCACGCGAGGTGCCTCCCGTCAAGACGACAGGTTTCCCACCCCGCAGGGCCGGAGATGTCCGCTTTGCTTTTGCTCTCGCTGTTGCAGCCCCCGTAAGGGCGAGGGCAGGTAAATGGAGGCGGAGGCGCCCTCGCCCCGAGAACAGCTGCAGGCGGGCGGCGCGCGGGCGGGGAGGAGTGGGGGGTGGTGCAGCTCCCCTTCGCCGGGTGGAAACCGAGCCAGCTGCTTGAGCTGTGAGGGAACCGGGAATTGAGAGGGCGCGGGAGGGGAAGGCATTCGCCGGCTTCCCAGTCCGAGGCAGTGGGGTGCTGAGGGGCTTCCAGCCCCTTCTCCCGCTGGACCACGCTGGGGCTGCTTACTCACGGACTGCACTTTAGCCAAAGGGAGGGCTTGTGGCACTCCAGGGGCTAACGGGCTGCGGGAGTATGTATGTGTGTGTGTGTTTCGGAGGTTGTTGCCTTGTAAAAGCGCCCCCTCCGTGGGAGCCTCTGTTTTGCCCGGTGACAGCTAAGAGCAGCGAAAATGGGTGTGTGTGTGTTTGTGTGTGTTAATCTGCTTGGCGCTCAGTGGGAGTCTTGTATTCGCCCGCGCCTCTGCTGCACGTTTACCATCGGCCGGCACCGCGGTTTTGGGTGCAAATCGACTCAAACTCGCCACCAAGCGCGTTCCCTTTCCTCGTAAACGCGATCTTATTGGCTGCGGGCTAGGCCGCCTCGGGTGATACGAGGCGCTTCTCTTGAAGCTCGGCGGGAGCGGTGGGGGTGGGAGGTGTTCCCCCCTCTCTTTAAGCCCTAACTCTGGGCTAGATGCGTTTCTTTCATAATCAAACTTTCTGTCTATTTAGTTGATTAATTAGCCTTCCTTATTTCCGAGGTGGGTAAAATGAGGACCCAGATTGTTGGGGGCAATAGGCTGACTCTAAACTGCTTAGAGAGGGCTGTAAAGCGGTAGATAAGTCCAAGTGCTATTGTTATTGCTATTAATGTTCAATGCTTCCAAACAAGCATTCAGGTGTCCATTAGAATCTCATAAAATAAGCCTTCAAATTAGAAGACTGCGGTTTTCTTGGCAACATGATTTGGAAGTAGGTTGCCAGGATCGTCCGTCCCAAAGGTGCTTTTTCAAGAGGCAACTGGACTTTCTGAAAGTCTAGAAAGTCCAGTTGCTTCTTGAAAAACACCTTTGGGACAACCATAATCTGGATGACTTGAGAATCTCCTTAGTCAGCTTGCCAGGATCTTTATCCTAGGGCTGAGATTGTGTAAGTGGCCCAAAGTCAACCAAATAGGCTTTGTGCCCACAGTCTTCCAGTTCCTACCAGTCCACTGCCTTTAATTTCTTTCTTAAACTTAATACAGGTCAACTGAGGCAAAATGACAACATCCTATTGTAATTACTCCTTTCCCTTGCAATTACCCAATGAAATAATTGCACTGTTTAATTGTAATTTCATTGCCTGATGGTACACAGACTGCTGTACACTTTTAAGTAAAACTGATGTATCTTCAAAATTATATTTGCATTTCCCCCCCTTTTTTCCACCAAGGTAGAATTTTGGTCAGGCCTCAGTATAGAAAAGACGGTAGTGTTGGTTTTCAAAAACAGGAAATTCAAAAATAAGCTGGCTCTTATGTTTTATTTTTTAAAACTCTCATCTCCCCAGGTGATTGTAAGAATACACATGTTTTAACAATGATACTTTCTGTTGCAAAGATTTTTCTTTGCAATTCCAGTCAGTATGCTTTCTTCCACAAAGCTAGATCTTCCTATTTGTGATAGGAAAATATACTTAGATTTCACACTTGCAAGTATATTTCAGTAGCTACCTAAATTAAACCTAAATTCATTGGATTCCTAAGTGCAATAGGCAGACATGATCACAATTATTCTGGGCTACTACATCACTAGTTCAAACAAAATGGGCACGCTGCTGTATGAAAACAGTCCCAGTTCTTTTTCTTTCATTTTTATTCTGCCTTTGGGGGTTTTTTTTAGACAGTGCAACTCACAATCTCCTGGTTTCTAGACCAGTAATTTCTTTATTTTTTAAATAATTTCTTTATAATTTTACAATATAATTTATTTATAAATTTATGTTCTAATTTCTACTTTTTATATCCCACACATTTTTTGTAAGAATTTTTAGTTTTTTTTTTATAAAGAGAAATTCAGATCTGGTAAAGGTAAAGGTAAATGTAGTGTCTACTCAAGAATGGGGCCAGTGCTCATTGCCATTTCCTAGCTGAGGGAGCCAGTGTTGCCGGAAGGTGTTTCCATGGTCATGTGGCCAGCATGGCTATATATCAAAGGCTCATGGAGTGTTGTTACCTTCCCACTGAAGTGGTACCTATTTATCTACTTGCATTTGCATGGTTTCGAATAACTAGGTTGGCAGGCCTACCCAGAAGTAAATTAATCATACTAGTTTATCTACAAGCAGTTCAGTTCCTTTCCACCATCATCCCAATGTCACCTGCTTTATTTTTTTCTTTTTGTTTTCAAGAAGAGTCAATGTTCTGTGTCCACTGATAAATATTCAACATAATATGAAAATGGTTTTTGGTTTGACATGTTGGCAGTGCACTAGACACAAATACAGAATGCAATATCAGCTCAAAATAATAAAAAAAACATTGCCTTTCTTCTTTTACAGATCAGACTCTACTTTTCAAATTTTGAGAAGGGACGAATAAACATGAATCTTTTTACTCACATCAACACAAAGAATATCTTTTCTGCAACTAATATGTCTGGTCTATCTGGCAAGTTCGAGGATCAACTGAACTTAAGCAGTAATTCTCCTTCAATGTCAATAAGTAAGCTTTTTCCAGCTTTGTTACAATGCTTTGGCATTATCCTTTGTGGATATATAGCTGGAAGAGTTAATATAATTACATCCACTCAGGCCAAAGGATTAGGAAATTTTGTCTCCCGCTTTGCACTCCCAGCTTTACTCTTCAAAAATATGGTCTTGCTGAATTTTTCCAACGTGAATTGGTCCTTTCTGTACAGCATCCTGATTGCCAAAGCCTCAGTATTCTTCTTAGTCTGTACATTAACATTGTTGATAGTCACTCCTGAAAAACGATTTAGCAAAGCTGGACTCTTTCCTATTTTTGCTACTCAGAGCAACGACTTTGCACTGGGATATCCTATAGGTAAGAATCATTTTATGTAATTGCATTTTTTCCATAGTGCTTTAGAATCGTCATGCATAATATCCATTTCCAAAACACATATTTGGAGCTGGGGGGAGGAGGTTATGTGTGTGTGGAGTTCTAATACAAGACATAAATTAGCCATGTTATCGGCAATGTATAACTTTCTGCATAAAGCCACTCACTTTTTGTACCTGCAGTGCAGTGTTTTAATTTTTGAGAAGAAAATATATTTTGCTCCCTGAAAGAAAAAAAAATATTGGCCTGATATTGCAAAGATGAGGTGTTTTTTAAAAAGGTACAGTAAGTGTTTTTAGCCTGTGAAAGCCTTAAGACAAACATTTCATATATTAAACTGTACTTAAACCCCAAAATCTCATTGTAAGAAGACGTAGATATTGTACCGTAGTGAGCTGTACATGCTCTGTGACTCAGAGTGTCTGATAAAGCTAACTATTATGCTTTATTTAATGAACCATTACTGGATAAACAACAGATTAAAATGATATATAAACTTTCCGCACATGCGTGCAATAGTTTCATCATATGTAGGGAGTGGCACATTACATTTACATCTCCAGATTAAAAGTATTCATCTTTTTTATATTGCCTGCTCTTGAAGCTACACTGATTCATAGAGCTTGCATTTATATGCAGTTAATGTTACCTTATTCTGATGCCGTTTATAATAAAATAATAATAAGTTAAATTTTTAGCTGGAGAAAGCAAGCTTGGAATCTCCAGAGTGTAATACACAATCAAATATTGGTAAACAGGTGTTTATGGCCTCTATCATTAAAAGGTACTTATCAGAATGGAATATATCTGTCATTTAAACACCATTAAATCTTACGTTTTGTATGTGTGTGTTGTATGTATATGTGTGTGTGTGTATGTATAATACACATACACATATTTAGAATGACACGTGTTTGCATCATTCTAAATATGCTGACTAAAGAAACTAAGGTGCAATTATTTAATAGTGTGATGAAACAGGAAATTTGATATAATTGGTTTTTCTAGAGAATGGAAATATTTGTCCTCTTTTTTCCATAATCCCCTTCTGTCAAGAGTTCCCACAGAAGTTGTTAAACATATCTTTGAAAATACAGGCAGGCCACCCATTGTAAGGTATGACATCTATTGTGATTTAGTTCAACTTAAAATAGAACTACCATATAACTCTGCAGCAAAAATCTTGATAGTCACTAGGGGGTAATAAATATAGAAAACTAGTACCTTGCTACTAATTCATAGTTTCAATTTCAATAGAATGAATGTAATAGCCCTACTTAAAGTAGACCTATTGAAGTCAATTGGATGTGTTAGTTTTGCAGGCCAGATTCTATACAAAAATTATATGTAAAGTTCCCATAATTTTTGTTCTATGTATTTGCTCTATATGCAAATTATGTGATATCTTTTCTTCGTGATTGTAAATTGTCAGCAAATCAGTGTATAATACAGTGACAGCCAAAAAAACGTTACCATTTACCAGATAGTTTTCAGGAAAAATTTAACATGCTATTTTTATCGCCCTACACAGTATTTTAGACAATTCTTTCTCTCAAATAAAGCCTGACAAGTTAAGATCATTGGAAGAAGCCACGCACAATGCAATTTCAGATAAATGCATACAAGGCATGTCTTCTCCTATTGTGCTACTACAATTGTATTTGTTTAGGAAGGATTATTATGAGAAAGTTTGGGAAATATGCTAAAATTCATTTTAATTTATACATACCAAAAAAAACATTGCAATAAATCTAGCAATCTAGAAACTAATTGCAATAAAATGCAATATATTTTTTAAAAAAGAAATACAAATACTTTATGACTCTATAGATCTGAAGAACTAGTGAAGGGGTAATAATGTTGCTCCCACTCAATTTTCCTCCCAAACCTTAAATCTTTTATTAGGGCTATGCAAAAGTCTTCAGAGGAGCTGTTTCAAGGCATACTGTTGTGGTTAGCCAGCAGCAGTGAGGAGGAGGTTCCCGAGGAGTCTGTGCTAAGTGCGAGTGAGCGCAGGATGATTCATAGAAGAGCAGCACAGTGACTTTAGGGAGTAAGAATGCTAATTAATGGCCCCTCCCTCCAGGGAATATAAGCCTGGTTTCAAAGGGTTTTATTCTGTAGAAGGCAAAAACACTCTAAGAACTCAACATTGTGTGTGGAGACTCCAGCTTATCTGAAGAATTCTGTCAAGGCTTTTCTGGTTGGACTAATTGGCTGCAAGCCATTTTTTATCTACAAAGAAGTTTATTTGTAGATTAAAGCTGTGAAAGTTTGAGTTACTGAGTTTGTTTGTGTTTGCTCTCTGGGAACCCAGTTGGGTCAGAACACATACAGGAACGTCTGTGAAATACCTCTTTTAGAATCAGTAAGGCAACCTTTTATGTACACGATTTCTCTGGCTACTTCATCAGTTACTCCAATCTGCCTCCCCGTGGATATGATGCAGAGCCAGGAACAGCTGAGCTTAGCCTTTCAAAAGAGATGGCTGCTTTAACAAGAGTTTCACTTATACTCGTGTACAGTAGGTAAGGAAGGGCCTCTTTGGAAGATTCTGCAGAGTTCTCATCTTTATGCTTCTGGTCGGTTGCTAGTAGTGTAGTCCTGAATAAACAGGAAGGAGACACATGCCTAACTTCCACATCTTAACACAGTCCACTGATCTTTTTTTTTTTTTTTAATGTGTTCATATGCTTGCAGTGGGGCAAGAGTTGAGCAGTACCTCTTAAAGGGGCTGTATTGATTGAAACCTGGTCTTTTGTCAGTCAGAATGTGAGAAACGTTCATTTAATATCTAGGAGGGTCGATTTTAATTGAATTACAGTTAGAGGATAATTGTAGGATTATTTAAAAAAAACTTCCTAATAATAAAAGCAGCTTAGCAGTAGAACCAGTTGAAAAGTGGTGTGCTTTCCTTTATTGGACATGTTCAGATGGAGGCTGTTTAGGATGCTTTCGTTTGGATTCATACACTGAGCAGGGTTTAGATTCAGGGGCTTAAATGGCTCTTTCTTTGATTCTATGATCTCATGGGCTTTGCCATCGTCCTTATGAACAGATGTTCAAGGTGGAACTTAAGTGTTGTCACCCTTTCTCTCTTATGACTTTGAATATTTTAGCTGGGTTTTTTTCCCCCTGGTACTGGGTGAATGCATTTCATCATATACATCAGGAATGTCAAACTCAAGGCCCCGGGGGCTGGATCTGGCCCTGGAAGCAGCAAAGGACCAGCCCGCGGTGCCTCTGCAAGCGAAAACGGGCTCCCGAGCTCCGTTTTTGGCTGCGATGACTTCCTGCAACCCTCTGCCAGCGAAAACAGAGCTTGGGAGAGCCGTGTACTATCCCTTATATACTGTTGCTTTGCAATTAATCTCAGCCCCTCTTTTGAATAGTGTCTGTAATATTTAAATAAACTTCTGGCAAGGTACGCACCGCGCCTATAAAAGTGACTTCAGTATGGGAAGCTGGAATTTACCACATAATTGCTTGGGATAAGAGAAAAGATAGTGCAATTGGTTAATATGACAGCAGGAAATGTTGCATTCAGTTAGTAATGTCACATAGTTATATAGTCCCAGCTGAAAATATGGAGACGTTCCAAATATCTCTTTTATAGGTACTTATGTGGGTAGTCCTCGGTTTATGAATATAATAGAACCTACTGACTACAGTTCCAAGTTGTGATTGTGGTAAAGTGGGTCACCATGTGATCTGACCCAGTTTTATGATCTCTTCTGTGGCAGTCGTTAAGCAAATCCATTTTTTTACTATGCTGAAAACCTAAAATAAATGCTGATTTTCAATCAAAATGGAATTTGTGGTTATGTGACCATGGGATGCTGAAAATGGCTGTAGATACAGGCCAGTAGCCACACACTTGAAATGCGGTCTTGTGACTGGGAACTGGGTCACAAGTACTTTTTTGGGGGGGTCCATCAGAATTTTGAATGGTCACTAAGCAACAGGTTATAAGTCAAGGGCTACCTGTATTCACTGGGTGAAGCCATTTTCTCTTAGCCCAACCCACCTCACAGGATTGTTGGGAAAATAGGAGAAGGAAGAAGTATTAAGTTCTTATAGGAATTTGCAAACTCCTACCAGATGAATTGGACATAAGCTGGTATAGCTTCTTGGGACATATCAGAGAGCCAGCATCAAGGTCAGAGAGACATTCTTGAGAGATTTGGGATACAGATCCTATCATTCCTATCAGCATGGCCAAGAGAGCTACTAGACATTTGAGTTGAAAGCATTCAATGGTCAGGACATTAGGGAAGATGGCCAAATTGATATTTCATTAAATATTTACTTGTTAGATAGACTTAAAGATGAAAGACAATGTTACTAAATTTAAAAGCCAGGAACTTATCTACTTCATTTTTTTCCTGGCTGGAAAGCGTGTTTTGATGACACGAGATTTTGGGTCAGCTGCTCTGTCAATGGATATGCAAGATTTAATCTATCTCTGTTTATCACTGGGTGTAAGATGAAACAAAGGCCATTTCATTGAGAGAAAGACCAGAGTTATAAAACAAGATTATCATTAATGCAATGTTGTATCATGTTTCAAGCTTGCCTACAGAGGTTAAGTAGATGGAATGATATAACTTCTCGGAACAAGTCCAAGTTTGATTTTAAAATTCAAAGGCCATTCAATATTGTTAAAGGCTTTTAAAACACTTAGGTAAGATCATGTCCTTCCTCAGCAAATACGATTTTTCAATTATTGGCAGAGCAATAGTCAAGTGAATTATCTTGCCAATAAAATATGCAATTGAGGGCCAGTTTGGTATAGTAGATAAGGAATCTCTGATTTCTAGGCTTCACTTAGGCACAATAAAAAAGTAGCTGGGTGACTGAGCCAGCCCCCTTTCTCTCAGCCCAATCTACATCACAGCATTGTTGTGGAAAAAAATAGGAGGAGGCAGGAACATTAGGTATATTTGCCACCTTCAATTATCTATAAACAAAGGCAGGATAATGATGTTGTTGTAAGCATATGCTGTTGCTTCATCCATTGTTCAAAATGTCCTCCTACATTCTGAAAAAGAGATTCTGCAACAGAATGCACAATTGGTAACAGTTGGAATTCCATCCCTTCTCCTGGGAATAGTGTTGTAATAGTGTGCAAACTATTCCATTTGTGTTTTGGGCTGTACTCTGACCTTAATAGAAATATTCTGGAGTTTTTCTGATATTCCAGAAGTGTATTTTCATGCAAAAAGTTTACTAGGGGTTTCCAGTCAGCCATAAATGTAGATATTGTTTTCTCTCTAATCACAATCTTTTTTTTCCTCTAGTTGAAGCTTTGTATCAAAATACATATCCAGAGTATCTCCAGTACATTTACCTGGTTGCACCAATATCACTTATGATGCTAAACCCCTTAGGGTTTATCTTCTGTGAAATCCAGAAATCAAAAGACAATCAGAATCTCTCTCATAGCAAAATGAAGATCGTAGGACTCGGGCTTCTTCACGTATTGCAGAATCCAATTGTGTTTATGGTCTTCATAGGAATTGCCTCCAACTACATCCTTAAACAAACGATTCCTTTATATTTGGAAAACTTCCTTGACAGTCTTGCCAATTCATTTTCTGGCTCAGCTCTTTTTTACCTGGGTCTCACCATGGTTGGCCAAATAAAGAAACTGACAAGGGGTACATTTGTTGCACTGATTCTTCTCATCACAGCTAAACTGTAAGTTCCCCCCCGCCTTGTGTTTTTTTATGCTTGGAAATTAAATCTTAAATACTTTGTCATGAACTAAAAAAATAATTTCTAACGAATGAGCCGTACCATTTTATTTCACATTATGAAAAATTTGTTGCCTTTTTTTATTATGATTGCATCATAGGAATTTTAAATTATTAGATGGTAAGAGTCTTTAAATATTTTTTTGCTTCAATTGCAAATGTGAATGCTACAAAATAGTGCTCTTAAAAATACAGGTAGTCCTTGACTTACGATCACAATTGAGCCCAACATTTCTGTTGCTAAGCAAGACAGTTGTTAAGTGAATTTTGCCCCATTTTACAGTATTTCTTGCCACAGTTGTTAAATGGATCACTGTAGTTGTTAAGTTAGTAACATGGCTGTTAAGTAAATCTGGCTTCCTCGCTGACTTTGCCTGTCAGATGTCGCAAAAGATGATCACATGATTGTGATAATTACATGCATCCTAATTTCAATCAAGTGACCATGGCGATTCTGTGACAGTTGTAAGTATGAAAAATGGTCATAAGTATTTTTTTCCAGTGCTGTTGTAACTTTGAACATTCACTAAATAAATGGTTGTAAGTCAAGGACTACTTGTACTACATATAAAATTAAGTCTATATGTTGATCTGCTTAGAGAAGATTATGAATTTAGGGACCTAAATTTCCAGTTGAGTAACTTATTTTTCTTTCTTTATTCTATCTAGACTGTTGATGCCCCTTCTATGCAGGGAAATGGTGGAATTGTTAGACAAGAGCCAGAGTTTGGTGAACCATACCAGTTTATCCAACTATGCATTTCTCTATGGAGTCTTTCCAACAGCTCCGGGTGTGGCTATATTTGCAACACAGTTTAACATGGAAATAGAAGTTGTATGTCTCTTAAATATTTTTCCCCACATAATTACAAGTGGTCCTTGACTTATGACTGGTTGCTTTAACAGCCATTCAAAATTACAACGAGCCTGGAAGAGGTGCTTTACAACTTGTAAAGAACCTCTGGCTGTTGTAAAAGGCCATGCCCTACCACTATCATATCCTGAGGTGACATGTCTGCGTTTGGGGTGCTAGGCAACTGGCTCACCTTTATGACTGAATGCAGCATCCCATGGTTATGTGACTGCAATTCGTGGCCTTTTTGGTGGTTTCTAGCAAAAAAAATACCCATTTGTATGAATAGACCTTAGCATTTTTTTAATGATTGCAATCACCATTAAAAAATGTCATGAAATTGGGTCTGGTCATGTGGGTGACCAGAATGAATCAGAAATCTGGTCCCAATTGCAGTTATAAGTTGACTACCTATAATTTCTTCATGCAAGTTTTACTGGTTTCTTCAAGTTGAGGAAAAATTACAGCAATCTTAAATTATTTAGAAAATAATTAAATATGCTAATGAATATTTCAGAAGTTTCTTGCATCTTTTGAAGTTCATTTCTGGAATTAAGTGGGTAAAAGAACTGATTATTTTTCAGAAGTCTTGGGGGGCAGGGGGGACTGTATAGCCTCACACTTAAGTACCTTTCAATCTAAATTTCCACGTTTCCATTTAGCTTCAATTGCAATTAATTTTGCTTGAGTGAATCAGATTCATGAGTTGATTCATTCATTGACTCTGGACATAAAAAAATCTTAAATAGGAGTAATTTTTTAAAAACCCAGAGGCTTTGTCTATGCTTTATTGGATTTCCCTTTGAAGGGAGAAAAAGAGAGAGAAATCATGATATAACATTCCTTATTGGCTAAACTACTACTTCTAAGTTTATTTCTAAAGAAGAAAACTTCCATTGGAATAGGCTGCTAGTACTTTATTTGTTCCCATCCCTCTGTTCTCTGGCTGTTAATCACACTGTGACAATAACTATAGATAAATAAATAAATATAAATCTCCCGAAGTAGAGTGTTTTCATTTGAGATGATCAGATTATTAGCATTTTGTCATGAAAAGCAAAAATAGATATTTTCTGGCCATGAATAGTTCGGTGACAGTGCTAATGCTAATGTTGCTTTTCTTAGCTGCAGAATTTCTGTGGTTCCCTGAAATAATGCATAGCTATTAAAAGCTGTAATTCTTAATCCTGATATCCAATGAAAAATACGGCAGGATAATTTTTAAAGAAGTTAAAAGCCACCAGAAACAGAAGCCACCAGAAATCTCTATTTCAGATGGCACAATCTTCACTTAAATATTTTGGTAGCTTTTTAGGCCAGAAAAGAAATAAGTAATGGTAACCCTTCCTCAAGATTTTAAGAACATCTGTACTTTTTCTGTACTAAATTAAGGGGAAGTGGAATGCATGCAAAAGTGCATATATAGATAATCCTCAACAATCATTAGTGACCAAAGTTGCAACAGTACTGAAAAAAGTGACTGACTTACTCATCCTTGCACTTATGATGATTGCAACTCCCTTCTGACAAGTAGGAAGTCAGCGAGGGAAGATGGATTCTTTTAATTACTGTGTGATTCACTTAAGAACCACAGGGAATCACTTAACAGCCATGGTAAAACGTCATAAAATTGTCATAAAATCTCAATTACCTAACTCAACAACAGAAATTGTGATCTCAATGATAATTGTAAGTCAAGGACTTCTTGTAAAAATACTGTCCTTCTTGTTAAAATACTGGGAGAATAAAAATGTCTTTATAATCAGCCTGTGCAAAAATGGTTTTGTTTTGCAGACTATTCTGCTTACCTCTATAGTAAGGAAGCTGAAGGGTTTGAAAATACATTATTTGTTTGTTGGGCATATAATAAAGTGTGGAAATGTGTCGTTACTTTGATTTGTCTCACTTGTCCTTTTTATTTGTTTATAATATAAAATACAAAAGCAAATAATAGGAAAAATAAGGGAGGGAAAAGGGAAGGGAAAAGTGTAGAAAAGAAGGGAAAAAGAAAGAAAAGGCATTGACTTCCGACTCCCTTTGGTGCAGTAAAATAAGGCATTAACATCAAACCTCAATTTTTTACTTTTACATAATAGTATAAACTAGCCATTTCTATAACAGCAAATCTATCTAATCAGTAAAACCCAAAATCAAAGTTACATTTTTGTCCACCTCAAGCACAAAGTCCAGAAACATTTTTGGTTTTATCTTTATATTCACTTTGAGAATCTTTTGTATGAGAATATGAATCCTACTCCAATATTTCTTTGCTTTATCACATGTCCCACCATACTGTTACTTTGATTTGTGATTGCAGATAACTTCTGGAATGGTGATCAGTACTTTTGTGTCTGCTCCCATCATGTATGTTTCCGCATGGCTATTGACCATTCCTTCTATGGATCCAGACAGATTGGCTGCAGCAATTCAGAACGTTAGCTTCGATATTAGCATTGTTAGTCTGGTCTCTTTGGTGAGTATCATGTTAATCAGAACTATCCTCTTCTGTGTTTAAAAGATGGGGAGGAAAATAAAGAATTGATGCTAATAGTCCCATTTAAAATAGGTTCTATAGCAGTGGTTCTTAAACTGGGGATAATTTGGGCATATCCTGGGCATAATGGAGCAAATTGCTTTATTGTGCGTCAGAGATGCAGTTTGGATTAAATTACTTGTAAATACGTACAGTACAGAATTGTGCCACTGGTTTCTATTTTAGTCTATTGCCTGAAGAGAAGACGAGTAATAGGAACTAGCTAACCCAATTATGTTGTCAGCCTTTTAAGTTAGCCCAGATCAAAGAATAGTCATGGCAAGGATCATTATCTTATTACTTATATAGGATACATTCTCAGAATCTTGCAAGCCTGTTCAAAACCGGTCATTGTCCTTTTTTTCAGAGCAATAAAACGAGGCCGCAGCTGTTCCTGAATCTCTTTCTCATGCTTTCTACTTTGCAAACATTTCCCCTCCCTCTTCTTTCCAAAGGCCACGATTTTTTTTTTTTTTTTTTTACAAATATGGGGAGTAATGTGTTAGAAAAGGAGAAGGGAGGTTCGGATTCTGTCAACCTTTGGCCTCAAAAGCTCATTGGTTGACTTTGAACTAATGATTCTCTCTCACTCAGGCTGAACTACTTCACGGGATTATTGTTGTAGGGGGAAAATAGGAGGGAATGCAATATACATTGTCTTGAACTCCTCGTGAAATGGGGTATAAATCAATGAATTGGACAGATATAAGACTTTGAAGAATATTAGCAAAATCATGATGATAAATTATTACCATAGATTTTGGTTTGTTTTTTTTTATAATTGTCACACCATTTGTGCTGCATTTCTGTTCCGTTATGCATCATTATTGGATGTGACAAGGCATCCTGGTTAGGAAGCAACAAAAGGCAGAAGCTTGAAAAGAAGAGAAATTGAAGAGGGCTTTTTTTTTTTTTCCTTTTCTGTTCAACAGCTTTTTGAAAGAAGCTCTCCTTGTGCACCCACAAATGGTCTTCTGTCTAATGTGACTGACAGCTCAACAGATTCCTGACTTTTTTTTAAAAAAAATTGTGTTTTATAATGGAATAAGGTCAATTCCACTCAGACCCTTTCTCAGTTAAGCAGTCACTTGTCTCACTAAGGAACAAATTGTATGCTATTTTACTAATGGGTGAAAAACAAACATGTTCAGATTATTAAATAAGAAGCTTATTTGGCCAAGGGAAAAAAGAGAAGTAAATTCTGCTCCCCTACCACTTTTCCCCTCTCCTTAGGGTTTTCAGTTTTGAGGGTAAAGATTGTTGCCTGGGGCTAAAATTTAAAAACTAGAACTCTTTATCAGGCTAGTGGAAGTGTTCTTGCAGAGATGGGGGTCTAGGGCTGTGAAACTCTGGAAGTATAGTATAGTCTTCATTTTTAAGGGTTTGATAATTAGCTAGCTTAGAAAAACAGAATGCCAACGCAAAGAGGAAACTGATATGAAAGCTCTGTTCTAATGATACCTGAGCCCATTATGGAAATATCAGTAATGCCAAGGAAAGTCCCTTAACAGAGATTGCACAAACTGTTTGAATGTCATTGAAATGAAAACCTGGGTGGAATATTTTATATTTTATAATTAGGAGAAGTGAAAGCCTTACATTGTGTTCACTCTGTGTTTCAGATCTGGTCCCTCGGGGTTATTCTTCTGAGTAAAAAATACAAGCAGCTTCCTCATATGCTTACAACTAACTTGCTCATTGCTCAGGTCAGTGAAATGGAGAATTATATCCCAAAATGTTTTCTTTCCAGGAATGGTTGTTGTGTAGTTTGCAGACAGCATTATTATTTTTTTAACAGAAGGTACACAATGCAAGCATTCTGCTCAAGCAGGTTTTGATTTAGTTATTGCCTTTGAATTACATGTGGGTGCATCATGGAAGAATGTTTGACACCACTTTGGTGTTTTTAAAACAAAAGCTGCTACAGAAGCATTGTGAATAAAACTAAACATCAAGCTATACATAAATATAATACCTGATATTGATTCTCCTGTAATGTAGTTCAGACTCTAGATCAACGGAAATCCCCCCCTCTCCCCAGCCTGCACATAGAGTGTTCCTTACAAAGTATAAGTTATAGACTGCAGTTAAAGAATCCAATTAGGAGAAACTTAAGCAGATGCAGCGCAAAATAGCCAATGGGGAATTTCCATTCCAGTTGGATTGTGTTCACCGTACTTCGCTTTTTCATACTATTGCCACTTATCCTTGACTGAAAATGCAACATTTTCATGTCTGAAAATTTAAGCATTTTCTTCTTGAAATTTAGTACTAATTGAGAAAGAAGTTTTGTTTATAATAGTATGGACTATTGTTCTAAAAAAAATTAGAAGCAAGTTATACCATGCA